TATATACAAAAAACCCCTAGGGGCAGTTCTATTGTGTAATACAGGGGGGTCACTCTGAGTCTAAAATGACTAAAACCATCATTACCATCATGGCTAAGATACCTCAAAGGCTGAGAAACTAGATGAATCAGAAATATCATGATTATTCATAACTTTCTTGGATTTAAAAAAAAGTGTAAAGGTGGACATTTGAGGGACTGTAAAAAAGGCAGTTCACCAAGAACAGTGTGGACGTGATCCCCTAGGGAGTTACAAGATGATTATTATTATTTTTATTTTTTTTAACACTCTTCTAGGGTGATGTCTCTATTTCCCAGATGGGGAAACTAAAGCATTAGATCTTAGTGAAGGCCAGAGTGAAGCAATAAAACTTGGAACTAACTGATCTCCCAAGCTCAACTTGTCCAGGGCAATGGTGCTGTGTGCCTTTCCCCTGGGGCACTAGCTCATTATCACAGAATCACAAGTCTCCCTTAAAGTCAGTGCTTTCTAGCCTTTCCAGCTAGCCCTCAATCAAATTCAAGGCAGCAAAGGATGAACTCCTCATCCAATAAATCATAACCAGAGAGCAGCAATCAGAGATTCCTATCCACCAGCTATGCAGGAGCTTCCATCTAATGCCCACATCTGGGCAACCCACTGCCTGCTTCCGGGAAGTGCAAGCATCACATCCACTCCCAGGAACTAGCATACACAGGCTCACACAGTTGAACATATATTTATAGAACCTAATTCCAATCTGTCCTGGAACCTAGCTGAAAACAGGCAACTGAAGAAGGAAAAAAGACACAGAAACCTGCCACTCATTCTCACACTGGGGGGGCACAGCCCCATTGTGCTGGCCAATGAGCTGCATCTTCTGCAGGACCAGAGACAAGCTAATCCCCTATGTGGGGCTTCCATTTCCTCATGTGTAAAAGACTCACACTCCTTTCAATTAGCTATACTATTTCCTGATTCTCCAATCAGGCAGTTCCCCCAAATCAGCATACTTTCTAGTGAGAAGCAGGCTGCAGAACAAGACCAAAGACTGACTTCCCCCAGACAGGGGCACAGAGTTCATATTCTGATGACCCAGTTTTCCTTGTAAAACTGATGACCCCTGAGGCAACAGGAAGCAGGAGACACAAACTCTGCTGGATGACTGGTCCAAAAACAGCTCCTAATGGCTTAGTGGTATTCCCTACCCAGGTCAGGACTCTCACTAACATCAGTAATGACACACACAAAACAAAATCTCTGCCCAAGATAGGAAACTAACAGACTTCACACGTGCTTTTCTATATGTGAAGACATAACCCTTGATCACCAATAAACACAAGTTCATTTACCAAAGTGAAATGATAAATCTTGTCGGCCATGGGCCCTCTGTCATCATTTGATCTTGTAGCAATTTCAAATGCTCAGAAAAGTCAGAGTAAATCCACACATACACACACACACACAAACAAACAAATAAACAAACAAAAAACATCAAACCAAAACAAAACCACACCACCCCAGGTCACTCAAAGCCATCAACTCCATCTTCCTCATTCCATACTTGGAGTTGTTGAGGTTGGAGTTTCTGGTCTTTTTTCTTCCTCTGCAGTAGGGACTCTCAAAAACTGATATGGTGAGAAGGCTAAGCACTAGTGGTTGGAAAATGAAGTAGAAAGATTCTAATCAAACACATACAGTTATCCTGTTCAAAAACTCTGCTGGAATTCCAGCTTCCTGGCAGGGGATATGGGACAATTCCAAAGCATCCCAAGGGTCCAAGGAACATTATACTCATCCTGATCACCATCCATTATCACCTTATTCAAGACCACACAACAGAGTTCAATAAATGATAAGTGAACATCTTTGACAAGAAAATCACAGGAAGACTCATTCATTCTAGTGTAACTAGTCCTTATAACCCGACCTTCCATACTCTCAGACGGTTCCATTCTCTTCTTAATCCAGAGAGACCCCTGGTAAAGTGTGGCTGGGAGGAAGCTTGTGCTTCAATTCAATATCTTGTTCAAGAAGGAAAAAGGGAAACCCAGGGAGAATATCCATAGTCAGGGGTATAAAGGCCTAGTGGACGGGAAACTTTGCTGCCACGTTAATCAAACGACCAGAAACGGTGGGAATATTCAAGCAGGCCAATGCCATCAGCCCCATCCATCGGACAGTGAGCTTGGCAGACGATTATAAGGAAAGACGGGCAAATAGTGCAGCAAAGGGCAAGTAGTGAAGAAAGGGAGTGGGAATAAAAGGGAATCCACCACACCCAGGCCTTCCCAGTGCGCTCAAGGGGCTGCCCGAAAGCGAGGATACCAGACGCAGGAAGCTAGGGGACCGGAGGGCGGGGGAGGAGGCGACGCGTACCACGGAGACACCAGGCCTCGCGTGGAGCACGGGGAGCGCACACCAAGCCAGGACGGCGTGCAAAGAGGGTGGGGTGGGCGTGCAAGTGGCTTGGCGAGGGGCTGCAGGCGTCACTGGCAGGGTCAGCGAGGCAAGGGTCCAGGGCTGCAGGGGGCGTGGGAGCGCGCGGGGCCGCGCTCCGAGCGGCGCGCGCGGGGGAGCTGGTTACCGTGTGGTTCACCCCCCACATCAGGACGCTGAGGATCGGCTCGCTGGCTCGGAATAGCTTCACTTTCTGGCACACGAAATGCTTCTTCTTGGTCTTGGTCTTGCTGGCGCTGAGTGGCGCCACCGCCACCGCCGTGGTGCTGGTGCAGTTGGACGACATGCCCGGGGCGGCGGCGGCGGCGGCGGCGAAAGGGGGGGCGGCAGCGACCGCGTACAACCCAGCGGCCCCAGGCCTCCCCCGGACCGATCCCCACCCCCAATGCTTCACCGCGCCATGGTCGCGCCCGTCCCGTTACCTCCCCACCCCGCCCCGGTGGTTCCGTCCGCCCCACGCTCCGCCCCCCAGGCCTGGGGCCCCGCCCCAGGGAGCCGGCCGTCCCGCTCCGCACCCCGCCCCCGGGCGGTGCCGCTGCCCCGCCGTCACCAGGACCTGGCCTCCCTGCCTAGGTGGTACCGCCCGTCCCGGGGAGGCAGCGGCCCGCGCGGCCCGCCCCTCCTCCCCGGGCCTGACAGGAAGTGGGCCCAGCCCAGCTGGCTTCTGCAAGCCTCAAAGCCCCGCACCGGAGCGGGAAGGGGAGGAGGGATGGGTAGGTTTCGCGCTCTGCCACGGAAAAGTGTCCCTCTTCTGGCCCCCCAATGCCAGAGTTTGGCTCTTTCCCTCAACCTGACGTGCCAAGATGGCGGCGACTCCGCGGCACGGGGAGGGGAGGGGGACCGGGAATGCGAGGAGGGCGGGACGTACCATCCCCACCCCGGGGGAGAGAGTAGGAACACAGCAAGAGAAAAAGGCAGGCCAGCCTGGAAGAGCAAGGAACGCCCCCTCGCTCCACCCAGGCGTGGATCTGCCCACTCCCCTGAGCCTAGGGCGCGTTCCGCCGGCGGGGCACGCCCCTTTTCCCAGGACCAATGAGAGAGGCAGGCCGGGAACCTACGGTTTTATGAATGGGCCTCACACCCACCCACCTGCAGCCAAGCCGCTTCTCGCCTTAGGGTCGAGTTAAGAGCTAGCACCGTAAAACACTTACCCTACCATAGAGAATTATAACTATTTTATTCTCTGGCTCATTTCTTGAAATCTTCGAGCAAACTGCCCACGCTTTGTTACATAATTCATTTCGGATGAAGTAGCTCCATATATATGCACAAATTACCGGTCAACATGGGAGATTTCGTAAATTTGGTACTTTGCACATAAATAGCATAGTCGCTGTATAAGTTACAAAAATAAATGTAGCTTTTATTACCAAGTGATAAGATAAACGTAATTGACTCTAAAATAAGGAAGCAAGATGAAATGATTAAATGAGTATCAAATGAGTGGCACATTCTCTGGGTTTTAAGTATAAGAATTATTGACATCATTATGTACTCAAAAGCATGAATCCTCCTCGCTAGCTGTTCTAGTCAAGAGGTCTGCTTCCAGTGAGTGGACAGAGAAAGGAGTAAACATAGATTGGTTGTGTTTGTTATTGTTTTTAAATACCTGGGTAAAAATAGTGGCAAAGGTCTGAGTCCTAAAATTGTAATAAAATTAAAAAAGCCATTAAATAAACAGCTTCTACTTTAAAAGCCAGCACACTGGCATTTGGCCCTCACTTCTAAAATCCTTTGACTTTGCTCCTGTACTAATCACATTAGAGACTAAGCAGAGAGATGTGAAAGGATTCTCTAGATCCTAAATCAACCAGATTTATTGAAAGGACTGCCTGCCTTATTGTATTATTCACTAGTAAGTTTCAATTTTGTTCCATTTCATATAAAAGTCACCAAACAAGATATTCTCACAAAGGTAAAATGTTGGAAAAACATGTAAAAATGTACACTTTTACACATATGCACACTACACTTTTACAGTTCAAAAGAAAGAACAAAAAGTTGAGTTTAACAAGTCATTCAAAAGGGAAAAAAAATTCATTCAGTGTTTGTTGTTGTTTTTTTTTGGTATGGTTTTTCCCTTACAGATTGTTACTCACTCTTCTCTAAAGTGGTATCAGTCACACATGATCTACTGAATCAAATCTTCATTTACCTCAATAAGCACAGGCTACCTGAGTGACTCAGGGGAGAGAGGTTTCTGAAATTCCCATCTATACTGAAGTGATGGAATGGGTCTGCACACATAGGCGGTCTAGATTTGGTATCATAACCACAGGGAGCAGCATTCCAGAGCAGGATGAGTACTCATACAAAAATGGTTACCCATTAAAAAAACATCAAAATCCATTCTCCACCCACAAAAAGCTCCTGAGGAACTGTTGGGTCCTGTCATACTGTCTTAACAGGAGTGAGTTGTGTCAGGACTCAATGATAGGGGAGGGGTCACTTTGAACAGTGGTGGTCTGACATCTTTGGAAGAAATAATTTCAACTCTTATAAAGAGAATCTTTAAGAGGTCCATAGCCTCCCTGGAAAACCAACGAGAAAGAAGATGACTTTCATCTTTTCATAAAGTTCTTCTCCAGGGCTACTGAAGTTCTCTGTAGAGAGTAGATATTCCGCTTCACCCGATCCTCCAAGGAGGAAGTAGATGCACTCTCCAGCTTCATGCGGCTGGAAACAAAAGACAAATGTAAGTCAAAAGCATTTGTTTTCCACTAGTCATTTATCTGATAGAATTTAAGGGAGCATGTTGCTTGCCTTAAAGCAACTGTGGAAATACAATTGCTTGTAAACCCACATGGAACTTTCAAGTTACGCCATTAGAATCTAAATGATTTTAAAAATAGTCCGCTAGATCTTCTGGTGCCACAGAAGAGACAATAAAAGAATGTAGGACAACCGTCCTGCTCCAGCTATGGCCGAACTGGAAACCTGACATGAGCGAAGACTGTGGTGGGGGAGAGCCAATATTGGAAGGGATGAGAACTTTGTTGGAATTGAGTGGGAAAAGGGTGAGGGAAGTCAATATTGGCAGGATTGAAAACTTGGAAAACATTGGCCTAAAGGCACGAAGCTCTAGGCTGAGGTGCCTGCATGCACATTTTAGGAGCTGATTTGTTTTGTATTCTGTTTCTAATCTGGATTATAATTTTTTACTTCATACACACACACACAGTCCATTAGGAAAAATTTGCTTGTTTGAGAAAATAGGTCAAAGCCTTTAGAAAAAAGTTCCCTGAGTTACAAATCTGTATTTTTTCAAAAGGCAGGTCTAGGAGTTTCCATGATTTAAGGAAACCCAATTCACTTCTGCCCTCCTCACAAACACCATGCTATCTGCCCAGAGGCTGGCAATAGGGAGAGTAGCCACCTGGGGGCTGAGTTGAGTGCTGAGAGTGGTGCATTTTGTGCACAAGCACAGAACTACCCAGAATACAAAGAACGAGAAGGCAGACCACCTCCCAGAGATCATCCCATGAAAGCCCCTGGTAGGAAGATGCACTAACTGGATAAACTTTCCATCCCGGGAGTCCAGCTTCTCCAGCCTCTTCTCCCGTTCTTCGTCCTTCTCATGCCTCTTAAGGATGTTCAGCCTCTCTTCCTCCCGCCATTTGGCGTTTTCCATCATCTCTTGCCGTTTTCTTTCTAGTTCCTCTGCTGAGAGTTTTCTGTTGAATACAAAACCATCCTATCAACTTGTCTCCTCTCCTGACATAAACAGACCCGCACAGGGAAAACCCAAATCACATAGAACTCCAAGGAAATGCCCGATTCAGGGTCAAGCCCAGCATAAACTTCCTTCCTTCTTAACATACTGGCCAAGGGGTTTCATTAGAGAAGGATTTTATACCGTCACTCAGTAATCTCTGAAATGATTACTTTGCAATATTATATATGGAATAAATAGATGTAATCAGGAACCTAAATCTATAGCAATTACATGTCAAAAATTTACTGCTCAACTTACGTAAGAGAGGACTAAATTATCCAAGTAAACTACTGACTTCTACCACCTACCTGCTGGAGATGCTTAGAAATTTATGGACATGGCCCATGAGTATACCCCTTTAAGAGTAATTTACAAGTCAGAGAAAGCCTGAAGACTTCAACTCAATCTCAAAAGTTATAAAGATCTTTCTCTAGAAAGGTAGATCTTTCCTGTCACTCCAAATAAAGTTAGAGAGCATAAAGAAGAGGTGGTAAAGAGGCCCAATCACAATTTAACATCAACATGACATCCAAATCCTCTGCTTTAAAAAAAGGGTATAATGAGGGAGGACTAGTGGCAAGAAGCTGCACTGCAATCCCAAAGGTACATGGTTTGAATCCACCAGATGCTCTCCTGTACCTGTCAGATCTGATTTGATGGCACACACACACACAAATAATTTTTTAAAAAAAAATGCGTATAATGAACCAATCCTGTTTGAAAAGGAAAAATAATTACAAGAGTTCCATAAAGGACTGGGCACCTTGTTTTTGTTTTTTTTTTTATTATTTTGTGTGCGTGTACCGTCAAATCAGATCTGACTGGTACAGGAGGATATTGCGCCTCCTTCTCCGGCAGAGCATCTGGTGGATTCGAACCGTGTTCCTCTGGGATTGCAGTGCTGGGCACCTTGTTTTGAGAAACAAACTTGTACTAAAAATTGACATCCATCTGTCTATAGAGAAATGACTACATTCCCTTTTTTCTTTAAAAAAAAATCCCACTAAACAAAAATGAGAGAAAGCTTAAAGAGACAATTGAAGATGGGCAATACTAAGTTTGTTAGAAGATGGTCAAAGATGAAGGGACGATGACTACTTAACAGAAAACTGAATTCTAAGTGCTCAAATTGATGAAAATCAAGTGGATTCACACTCAAAATACAGGACAGAAGTGGCCAAGTGGAAAACAAAGGAACTAGTTAAAAAGTCTACGTAAGGAGCAATTAAGATGCCCCTGGGAACTTTCACCTAAAACACACAGATCCACAAAAAAAGACACCCCTGGATCCTCACTGTCCAACCTGGGAAAGCCAGGTGACTAGTCTCCCCAGTGTCTACAGGACACATAATAGTTTGCCTTTAGGAAGAAACCAAACCAGACAGATCAGATGATATAGAAGCTTCGGGTAGAGGCCACCAGACTGCACAGTGGGGATGAAGCATCCACATCGTCAACTTTGAGGCTCAGATCTTGGTGAGGTGATTTTTCTCTAAAGAAATTGAATGGATAACTAGGAAAACGTATGGGAACTCACGGGGGGAGGGCTGAGAATGAGTAGGGGCAAAACCGCAGGGCTGCACAGTTTTATGGGTAGCGGGAGTAGAGGAAGGAAATGGGAAGGATCCAGGCGAAAAGAGAGTAAACATGGGCAAGGTCCACTGGTGATCAATTTTATAAAACATAATGGATGAGAATGATTGTATGAAACACAATTTATAATAGTGTGAAACACAATGTATACAAACTTTTTAAGCAAACCAATAAAAAAAATTTAAAAAAAGAAACTGAATGGCCCCCAATAAAAGAACTAAAATTACTGAAACCTGAGTGTCCTTAGCTAAAAGGTCAGTTCTCACCCAACCACCCAGCAGTACACAAGCCTGAAAATACATGCAGTGGGTTTGGCCTTTTCCTCCCTCTTTCTTTTTTTTTTT